CCGAACTCCAGCCATCCACACCCGAGGAACAGATACAGGTGCAGGGACAAGCTTGGTGCTGGCTGCCTTTACCCTGCGAGCTGGTGTGGGTGCAGGAGCTAACTGGACCTCTGCTGGCTCATGCACCCAAGGAACTGGTACGGGTGCATGAGCCGTCACAATTGTCTTCACCCGCGAACCTGGAACAGTCACAGGCATAGACTGGGCGTCAGTTATCCCCACCCAAGGAACAGGTACGGGTGCAGGGACGAACGGAGCCTCGGCCAGCCTGGGGACTGGAGCAGGGGCCAGCCGGGCCTCTGCCATCCCCACCCGAGTAACTGGTACCGGTGCAAGGAAAAGCTAGACCCGAGCCGCACTCAAAGCAGGAGTTGGAGGTGGAGAGCGGAGCTCATGAGTTGTACCAGCCACTGGGAAAGCCAGGTTAGTGGAGTCAAACACAGTATTAGCAAACAAAGATTTAAGGCCTGCTATATTTAGTAACTCTGCTGGCTTTGTGCTGTCCAGGTTATTGTTAATAGTCTTTGGAGAAGTGAGTTCAGGAGCAGTCACTGGGGCTGGAGAGTTCACACAAACAGTGTCTGAATAAACTGGGTGTGAAGCCACACTAAACTCTATCTTACAAAGCACAGCCAGAGAGTTAGGACACACAGGGACCAGGACAACTGGCTGAAAAGCATGGTGCACAGAGTTAAACTGACATGACCGGGGAACGGAAAAGTTAACCTTGTCAACCAACTCTGCAGTGCCCAAACCAAATTCTTTTGCCAGTCTATGTATAGCAGACAAAATCTTGTTGCTCATAACCTTAGCAGGCACCGAATGTACAGTTTGAAACAGTCCACTAGGAAAAACAGAAACAGTCTCAGAATAGACAGACTCTGGGCTTGTAATCTTTATAGAAGCTGGAGTCTTAACACAGGCAGCCTCAGTATCTACTGGTTAAGAGGCTGCACCATACACAGGTTAGGCAACATCAACAATACTCTCCTGTGGTATAGCCTGAAAAGCATTAATAGAGTCTGGCTGGAAAATCAAACAGTCCATGGGAACAGGATGGCTTGCAGGCTAAGTACCAGGAACTACATAGTCCACATATGTGAAAACATGAAAGTCACTTCGAAGATCTGAAGTGATAATTTCGCTAGCTTGTTGGTCAGCCTCACACACACACCAGATTCACTGACATCTGTATAGTGCTCAGAAACATTTAGGATAGAAAACACTGGGTTCAGCAACGAGATCCTGACCCACACTGTCTAGTGCAGAAATGCAATGTTTCTGAATATTCCAAGTTTAAATGGAAACAAAACAGTCCGTAGAGGGATTGTCGCCGGAGGGAAGCATAATATCTGTCAGCAGCGAAATACAAACTGGCTCAGTGTTAACTGGCTCAAGCAAAACACTAGGTGTATACTCCGCTGGATGGAGATGATGCTATCATGACAATCAGGAGCAAAATCTCTGAGAAATGTTTTCAGAGTATATTTGAGTCTATGAAATGAAGAACTGGGGCACAAAGAGGGGGTCCACCTCAATACTGGTAAGGTGTTCCTAATAAAGTGGCCGCCTGTGCACACTTCCATAGTTAAATCAAAAACTTGAACAAATATATGTGGTTATGTTTGTAGATATCGTGGCATTCAGTGTCAGTGAAAACATGTGTGACTGGGCTCTTAATTTAAAGAGCTGAGCACTCCTGATACTGTGTGACGTCACAGCAGGATGGATGAGGTTCCTGCCTGGATGTAACACCACCTGTGCGAACAAACCTGTAAAAAGTATTTCACAAATACATGTTGTGAAGTTTATATCTGTTAGTGTGACCTTTCCTCTGTATCAGATACAAAACAGCTTCTGCACAAAGTGCAGACATTGAGCCTATGTTACTGACATTTAAAGAGGCTGTTGTTGCACTTAGGTGCCAGTAGATGGCAGCACCACAGCACAGTTTAATCTTGGTACAGTCACACAGCAATAAGCTGCTGTTCACCTGAGACTCAATTATCCTGTTAAATCAGCTTCACGTTTAAAAGCAGATTTCTGTCAAATGATCACGACCTTCCACTGAAGGAACTTTACTTTGAAGAGGCGTCTGTGATGTTTTCCTGTCAGTTATCTTAAGGAGATAATTTCAGCGGTGTGCTCATAAAAAATCTAACATGTTGTACATAAACACAGCTTATTAGTTGAGTTTAATTTCACAAATCAATCAATAAATATAATTACTCTGTATCCTGTTTTCTTCTACTGTTACTACACATTTGCTCTTTGTTCTTTACCAACTCACATTTTCTATCAGATGTTCTTGTGAAACCAACAGAATTACAAGGGAAGAAAAAGAAGCAGAGACACCAGATCGCTGCTGCGGTGATAGCAGCAGGTTCCACACCACCTGCTGGTTGTCCGCCTCAGTGAAGTGACTCTTGCTTCTTTTAAATCTCCAAAGAGCCACAAAACCAATTTATGAGTGTCACATACTCATAAATTAAACGTAATATTCTTCAGGATCACAGAAACGTCTCCATCCTTCATCTCCGGGTCCCTCAGCTTCACTCGGCCATAAAAAGATGGATGTTGATAGTTTTCATAGGAGCGTTTGTTCCTGTAGAACGGGGGTGGCCAACTCCAGGCCTCGAGAGCCGGTGTCCTGCAGGTTTTAGATGGGTCCTTGATCCAGCAGTTGATTCAAATGGCTAAATGACCTCCTCAACATGTCTTGAAGTTTTCCAGAGGCCTGATAATGAACTAATCATTTGATTCAGGTGTGCTGACACAGGGTTAGATCTAAAACCTGCAGGGCACCGGCTCTCGAGGCCTGGAGTTGGCCACCCCTGCTGTAGAAGTAGACGTAGCCGTCTGTGTTCAGGTCAGCTCTGCTCCACTTCAGCACTGAGATTATTTCATCTGTGGAAATCTGACACTGGAGAGTGACGTCATCTCCAAACTTCACCTGAACATCCTGCTGAAGAGCTGAAGCAAAAACAAAGAAGTGATATTTTTGACATTTAACACACCTCAGTGACCTGAACTCACAGGAAAATTTAACATAAATCACGTAGTCTCAGGTGATAAAACACCAGAAACATTTTTAGACAGTGAAACAAACAAGCTTCTTGTGGTGGTGAAAAACAAAGATCAAAGATAAGTGAGGTAGGTAACTAAGCACACTAGTGATTCAACTTGCAGAATCGCTTATGATAGATTTCTACATTTCTTTCTGTAGAATACCATTGTCTCTGTGGAGGAATTTTGGGCCACTCTTTTTTACAGTGTTACTTCATTGAAATGATTGCACACAGTTCGGCCACTACAGCGTCTCAGTCTGGTTGATTTTTCTGTTTTTCAGCGTCTCTGCTGTAGATTTGCTCTGCCTGGAAACACAAAAACACTTTTTTCTGATGTTAAAGTGATATTTGACTCTTGTAAACAAAAGTCTGGTCCTTCAGATCAGGTAAACATTTGTGTTAAACATGAACAAATTTGTCATGGTTCTCAGGCTCTGGAGAGGATGTGGGATGTTTTTGCCTTCACCTGTCCCTCCAGGGCTTCCCTACCTCTGAAACCGCCCTCAACGCATACCTGGGGCTCGTTTACGCTGATTCATCACAAGCATTGGTGGTTTTAGATACGGGCGGCATCGTGGTGGGGGCGGCATCACGGGCATCGGCAAAAAAAAATAAAAAATTGCTCGTACTCATGCTGCGCGACGTCATGCCAGCGCATACTGGGGACGGCACAGGCACTGGTCGGTTTTCTATCGCTCATTTGCTGGGAGTAAGGGCGCCCTCCGTTTGCGAGGTGCGCCTGCTGCTTGCCCAGCCCTATTCTCAAGCATCTGTTGGAAAGTCCCAAGAAATTAGTCTAGTCAAGCAAGAATTAGTCTTTCTAATTAACACTGAGCTGATAAGTTGCCAAAAAAATACTGCCTACTGGAATATAATGAACTAAAGTGAAAGACAGCATCTTTCCTTATATATTTTGTATTGTGTGTGTGTAATTTAATTAAATAGCATGTTTAAATGGCCCATAATATTTTAGAAATGTGCAAATGATAATAAAAACAGCAAAATTTTATGTTTGTCTGAAATGAGTATTTATTCATTTTCTGTAGATGTACCACTATTGTTATCTGAAATTTGCTGACGTACCATGGGTGGCAGCCCCAATCAGAGTTTGGAGGAACAGACACATTTAATTAAGGTTTAGAGTTCACTCATTTATAGAAATCCTCAATCTACAATCACTGGACCAGATTCTACATATACCATGCGCACACACACATTACAACACATGTGATAATAACATTTCAGCTTTTTACAAAATCCCAACATGCTCACCTATCAGACCTTCATTTTTTGGGGTCGTACGTTCAGTGAAGTTAAAGACAACACTGCCTAAATCCAAATTCACACCGCATCGCCTGCAGTGTGAACGTAGCATAAGATTCATGTGTGAAAGTGTTCCTGCTGCTTTAAGTCTTGGCTCACATCAACTTTATCTGCTTTGAAGAAAACTCAAGTGTGTCTGGGTTCACCACAACTCATGTTTACCATCAGACATCTTAGTGAAACCCACAGAAGCACACGAGAAGATCAAGTGAGACCAAAGCCACCTTCGGCAGATATAACACCACATTTTGTGGTGGTTGAATAGCCCTCCACCACAGGGAGCTTTAACACAATCAGATGTGTCTGTGATGCATTTATTGTCCGTTTTCTTTTAAAGACAGTTTCATCAGTATGCAGAAACTCCAACACACTGTACATGAAGACCGTTTATTAATGGAGTTTCCCTCATATCACCAAATCTTGATATGCATCTATTAAAATAAGAGTTTGACTTTGTTATAATCTATTCTAAGTCTCTTTGCAAAGTTGTATCCTGTGTTTTTTCCCCTTCAAGCAAACTTGTTAAACATTTTATAAAACAGGGTTAAATTTTCACATCATATTTTATAATGAACAATGATCCATCGTGTAGATACAGAAAAAGCTGAGTGCAGCTGTACCTGAAATTTATTTTGTCCATTAAATGAGTTGCAATCAAATCAGTTCTGCTGTCAACAGACAAACTTCACAGTAACTAAGATTCATGTGAGAAATCGTTCCTGCTGTCTGTGGCTCACATGAACTTTATCTGCTTTGAAGAAAACTGAAGTGTTTTTGGTTCATCACAACAACTCAGGTTGTCCATCAGACATCTTTGTGAAACAAACAGAAGATCAAGTGAGACCAAAGTTTATTGAAACTGCAGAGAAACCAGATCACTGCTGTGAAGACGACAGCACTTAGAAACAAAATACAAATAACAGTAAAGTTACTGAACACATGGAAACACGACACAATCAATAACTTTAGTCAATCCAGCTTCATCAGAGCTTATTGGAAATTATCCAGTTTAATGTCTCATTGTACTCTAAAATGAAAGCACAGTACAAATAAGCAATTGGAGTTAAAAAAGAAATCAGAATCAATTTAAAGACAAATGTATTCTCAACTTCTCAAAGTAGCCACCTTTGGCAGATATAATAGCAGAACACAGTCGTGGTGTTCTTTCTACAATGTTTGACACTTGTAGGTTGCTTTGCTTTCACTCTTCGGTCCAGTTCATCCCAAACCAGCTTGATGGGGTTTAAGTCTGGAGACCGTGCTGGCCACTCCATATTTTAAGCTTACCAGAGGGTACTGCATGGCGCTGCAGAATGCTGTGTAACCATTCTTTCGCCTACTCGATGGCGTACACAGATCCTGCGTGATGAACCGAAGATTTCAGATTATAATTCATCAGACTACAAGACCTACATCTAAGTGTTATGACGGTCTGTCTCTCCTCCATTGTTAATTACTTTTTCTCACCATGTTCTCTAGCAACAAGGACAATGCTGTTCCCCTGATGCTCACGTGGCCATGGTACACCAGTGTTCCAGCACTGCTTTTATGCAGACAGAGGGGGCTGTGGGTAATCCAGAAACATTGGACCACCTGTAAGAATTTATTATAATTATTGATCAATTGAAATGATTCATCTTAAAGTAAAAGTACAAGGAAGCAACCGAAATGGCAAAAATAAACACGGAGAAAAAGACAGACATACACATTTTATTAATCATTTAAGCTTTATTTATATTAAGATTAAGATTATATTTTCTTTTCAGATACTAAAAATAAACATCAGTGTCAGTCTCCATTCTGTCAAGCTGACAAACAAAGAGTTAAAGTCAAGTCCTCAAACGCTCCTATCCTGTTTGATAGGAGAGTGACCCCAAACACACTTCCAGTGTGTATAGTACCAAATCATAACAACAATTGCATCAGTGGGCTTTATAAGGCTATAATAAGGTAAAGACTACCATAATATCACCATGGTAACTTGATGTGAACATAACCTATTCTGGAGCCGATTAGAAATCCGCAGGTATGAAATCACCACCTTGTGCTATCCTCGCCCACTTATCAACCAGTCAACATCCACTTCTAGCACCACGCAGTCAGGATTGTGGAGGACTGCATGGGGACACGTCTCACTTAAGTGACCCGACCCAACCTTGGATGGAGACATTTGCTCACACAGAAAGATGTAAGGCAAAAGAAGTGAGTATTATTAGGGTGACAGCTGCACATTAGAGCTCCGAAACTTTAAACACTTTGTCCCACAGCCTAACAAAGGAGACGTGGAAATCTCTGCAGTTTGTCCCAAAAGGAAATTAAATCGATCGATTAAAAAGCTGTTTCTTGATCTTTCATCTGGATGACAACCTGCCCTACAGCACAAGTCACCATGGCGACTCACCACAGTAAGAAGGGAACCACCTTCATGGTACAGAAAACCCAGACCTGCATGTACACCCTTAGTCCTACAGAGCAAATCATGTCTTCTCCTCCATCATCAGTTATCAGGAGAGCAGACAGTCAAAGTCCAAGAATTCAAACAAACACAGAGATTCTACTTACAGAGCAGACACAGCACAGATGTTTCCTTCATCGTCCTTCTCACTCATTTCAGCTTTTTTTCATTTCTGTCACTGACACCAAGTAAAGCTGCCCTCTTCCTCTGAGCACCTTTCTGTTGGTACAAAAACAGTATATATATATATATTTAACAGCTTTTTATTTGAATTAAAACCTAGGAGAAGTGAAAAAGTTGATATTTTCCAACAGAAAGTTCTTACTTTCTGGGACAGTGACTCGAACTTACAAGTAGAGTACAGATCAACATAGTCAGTCATGTACGGCATGTGCAGAACAACTCAGTTTACTTGGTGAGTTGCATGTCTGCAGAATGCAAATATGTGAAGATTTACAATAAGCCAAGCTGTGGATCATATCTTTGCTGAAGGAAAATACAGAAAACAGCATTGCAATGTGAATGAGCCAGTTTCTGACGAGGAGGATGATAGAGAGCATCAACACAGACACATCTGATGAGGAGGTCACAGGTGCTGAAGCTGCTTCTGCTGAAATATACAAATCCAAAAGTGCAGCACCTCCTGGCTCACACGGCAGCGCATTAACCTGGGCTCACCAGGTTTGCTGTGACAAGAATATGTGTCTTTTTATGCCATTGACAAGAACGACATTATTGCTTTGACAAATCTTGAAAGAAAAGAAGTTGATGGCGACATTTGGAATGACACTGATGTATCTGTACTGTGCAGATCCGAATACAAGACCACTGATAGTCTCTGGGATTCGTTAATTGGATTAAAGCATTCTGCAGTTTACACTCAGGATTAAACAAAATACTACATAACAAATATCTATAAAATACCTGGAATATTCTCAAACATTTCCAACATCCCCACATTGAAAACAATAACCAACAATAATCCTATGAAGATAAATGAAATTCCCACACTTTCTACTCATACCTTACCTCCTCCTCTAAGAAACCAATAAACTGTTTGTAGGCCCCAGGGCATCATTTTCCCCGATATTTCACAATATCGGAACCAGGAAGCAGCAGGTGAGCAACACGATCATTTATAATTGCTAACATGAAAATTATACAACTTAGACGAGTTTGTAGAATTTTGATATAGATCTCTCTGTGCTTTTTTATTGTAGACCAACACCGTAGTGATGAGGCGCAGATACCAAAGAAGACAAGTACGACTAGAACTTACACACACCGACCACGACCACCACGTATACACTCAGCTGAAAACCTGTAAATAAAGGTTTTCCTATAAACCTGTAAATAAAGGTTTCAACAGTCCTCCAATTACTGTCTGTTTACGTCACTGCCCAATAAGCCTGCAGAATATTTTAAAGATGTAAAAAGAGTCCGTCCGTTCCAAGCTCTTAGCTCTGATCTTCAGAGGTGACAGCGCAGTCCATTTCCATGGAAAATGCTCCTTCTGGTAATACATGGCCAGAAATCCAGGCAAATCTGATATATAAATCATGGCAGCTTGTGATGCAAAAAACAGCTATTCCTCAAATCTACAGATTTACACAGGTGAGCCTGTGAGTGGCATCCTTGAGAAAAATCAGGGAAAACATCTAGTCCTGGAACATCTGGAAATGTCATTCCACATATTGAATGGAATAGTACGTTGTTCGTGATAGGGAAACATAGTACTGGCAAATGTGATTACTGTGGGGTAGAAGAAACTGTAGAACATGACATGTTGCAGTGTCAGAGGTATCAGGTTGAGAGAAGACATTTGATTCAAACTCTTAGTAACCTAAAAATCAAACTGGATCTGGTTGAGTTGTTTCGGAAGGAATCGGGAAGTAAAAGTTATCAGGCCTTATTTCATTTCTAAAAGAGGGGAACCTGTTTGGCAGGATTTGGGAAATTTTTTTTTTTTGGGCGTCGTTCCACCATACTCCAGTTGGTGGCGGTAATGCACCTTTCACTTGTTTGCCAACCGCCAATATAACTGTAAGAAAGAAAGAAAGAAAGCAGGAGGCGGCAAAACAAGGAAGTGCCTGTGCTTCAGAAGTGCCGGTCAACCGCGGTATCGAGCCTGCTTTCTCTACACAGTTATAACACTTATCTTCAGCTTCACAGACCACCAGTACGAGATGAAGGGTTCCGGAAAGCTGTACTTTTTCCTCGGTGTTCTCCATGTCTGCTACGCCTCGTCTGCAGGTGAGATTTCAGCCTTGAAGGCTAGCCTAGCCTAGCTTAGCCGACACTACGCTCTTGAATCTATGAATCAGAAATTCAATTGGCTCTTGACGTTGGTTCTGTATTTTATAAAACGGGAGTCTGCGATCCGGGTCCGGAACCACCAGATGTCCCATAAGGACCCGGACCTACAGCCGTAACAAGAAACCAGAGTGTGGCAGCTTTTCTTGTTTTACAGTATTAGCAGTGGCTTGACAAACGCAAAGCAAATTATTCTGTGCAAAAAAGAAAACGGACAATAATAATAGAGCACTTATGGGCTCCTCCCGAGAGTGACTGCAGTTAGTTCAAATCCAGTCAGACTGTTTGCAGATTGTTGCCTCCTTTCAGGTGAGATGAGCCCTCTTGATCAATTTATTTAGTATCATTTTAGTATTTGGTGTCACTGTATCACTTTTACCCAGATACTAACATGTTTAGTAAAGCTGAGGACAACGAAACGTGTTACAGCAGTGATAAATGTTTTGGAAATTTGAGGGTTTATGTTTCTTTTGTAGATTTCATTTGTAAGAGTCTTCACAGTCCATCCAATATTAAGGATTACTTGTGTTGTAAAATAAAAATTGTAACCGCAGTTGAGCATTTGAGTCTGTGAACCACAAAGTTAGATTCATCAGAGAGAAGTCGCTCGCTCTTTGCACACCGCTGATATAAAGACAACTCGGCTCATTTCTGCTCCGTTTCAGTAAAATCCGAGTGTTTAGAGGCATAAATCCGTATTATGCCTCTAAACACTCAGTGTGAGGACTGAGTTGAGCCAAAGCAGCTTTAAAATGCTTGTGCAAAGAACCATTACTCTATCTGGTAATGTTCCTCCCTCCTTTTAGGGATAAGGAGCAAGACAATTTTTTGAGGGGGGGCTAAGTTTATACAATTTGCAATGAGTTGTGTGCCACGGGCTTTCAAATTCATATTTATGTGACTAATTTAAATATTCTCCTCCTGAAACTCTTACAAACACCATAAAACCAGCTGAAACAATACAACAGTCAAACTGACGCTGAGTACATCCAGCAGCTTTTTAATCTCAGACAAGGCTGTGTGCTGCTGTAGATGTTAGTGAATCTGGCCCCAAATCTTCCTTTAAGAATTCAAGTGAGAATCAAATGCCTGACATCACACTACAATCTGACGCCACAGCTTTTGGCCATCACAGAAAAAGGAAACACGAGTTCTGTCCATCGTCTGTAACTCTGAAATCTGAACCATGAGACAAACAAGAGCATCTCTACCTCTCAGCTCGGACTCTCTCTCTTCTCTCTGATGATGATGATTCGTCTATGACGGACGTCCTCAGTTCTTCCTGCAGATCCACCACCGTCTACACAACAAAGCACATACAGATGACGTCAGTGCAGCAGGCACAGTCCTACTGATACTGCTGCTGTTTTAATTATAACACAAAAATCAGTCACATTATTCAATCTGGCCTAATCAAAGTTCAGCACGCTGTTCAGGTGCGAGTCCTCTTATTGGAGCACACCGGCTGATGTTTGAGTGAAAGGGAATTTTCCTTTCTTTAGTTTAATATTAGAAAATGTTTGTTACCTCAATAGTAGCATCACACACCATCTTATACTTACTGGTTATCTATTAGTCAGTAAAAATGTTTGCTGTATGTTAAGATTAAGACTAGGATTATTATAATTTCTTTTTTATACATTAAAAAAACTTCAATGTCAGTCGGCCTTCATCCTGTCAAGCTGACAAATAACCCAGAGTTGAGTCGATTTTTTTCCTCTGAACTCAGTAGTCCTGCAGGCCTGAAGCAGGATTTGCTCTAACCTCAGAGTTAACTACAAAAGGTCATTCACTGCTTACCAGCATATATTCAAATCATTTGTCGTTTGATAACTTCAAACAGCTACAACAGCAGTTTCCTAAAGGCATTCTTGAAGGCTTTGTAAAGTAAGACCCTAAAATAGTATCATCAACACGGTAACTTGTGCTGTTAACTGTCCTAGAATCAGTTACGTTCTAGATTATAGATCAACAGGGATTGAAATAATCGCCTCCTGACCAATCAGTTCTCCAAAAGTTAGCGCCACTATTCCTGGAAGATCCCTTGGACCACTTTGTAGACCACTGTGTATAAACCTCTGACATCTCCGCGTTTTCTTCATAGTTCAATTTTACCTTTTTATTTTTTTTAATTCTCTTTCTGATGGCTGCAAACAAACGTCCTCCTGCCCCGAAACAATTTACCTTACAAAACTCATATACCGTATTTTTCAGACTTTAAGGTTAAAGCATTTGAAAACCTTTCATGTTCTCAAAAATCGACAGTGCACCTTATAATCCGGTGCGTCTTATGTATGCATTCTCGTTGTGCTTACTGATGTCGAATCAATTTCATGGTAAGCTAAGAAGCCGCACTGCTTGATGTATTGTCGGAGCATTACGGTTACTGTAGTCAGAAGCGTCGTAGAGTAATACGTACTGCGCGTCAACATAATATTACCGTATTGTGTGTGCATAATGGACCCTAAACTGGGGCTTGTTGAGAGAAATGTGTACGAAGTAGATTTCAAACTCAAAGCTATCAGTCACGCAGCAACATGGGAACAGAGCAGCTGCAAAATCTGTCTGTCTTTGTTATTATGCTCTATTACTTTTTAGTTTACATTTGACTGCACAATTACGATCTTTTTGTTAGGCACAAAAGAACATTGTTATATTTTATTCATGGAGTATTATTTAATAAATCTTGATAATTTATTTTGGAGTATTTTTTTTAATGTACATCTACGTTGTATGTTAATAAAAGTGTCTGTGTGACATCTGGGACATGCTTTATATCATGTGTCAGCATCCAGCTAAAGAATATCAAGATATGAATTTTAGGCCATATTGCCCAGCCCTACGTACGCATAATGTTACAGGTTGTTTTGATATCAGCTAATAATAAATATAATTTGTAAGGATCTGAGTGTTATAAAAATAATGACCCTAGCTAGTTTATATCAAAATTTCAATTCAGATAAATTCACACATCTGGGAGGAGTTATGAACAGATATACATGCGTTACAGTCGTTACAGTTTATTATTCCTTTATAAATCTGCCCCTCAGCTGCTTGGTCACACTGATTGGTGTACTGGCAGCTAATAGTTTAACCACTTGGTGCGCTCAGTGCTGCTGTTTAGTTCTAAGTTGATGGCTGATGGTTGAAGCTTACTGTCCTAAACCCTGAGGAAGGAGATGTGGAAATCTTTGTTGTTTGCTCCAGATCAAAGTGATTAATGTGACTGATTGAACAGACATTCTTGGTGTGTGTTTGGTGTTTCCAGCACTGTGTAAGAGACAACAACAACAGCAGGTTGGAATCACAGAGAATAATACATATACCTTTTCTAAATCACCAAATTAGGGTTTGAGAGAAAGTTTAAATATAAAAGCATAGGATGTTAGATATGAGGTCATCAAGTACACTCTAGGTGTCCTGTTTTAGAATCATACATTAATTCATTTAGAATAACAAGATGCAAACTGTTGTTAAAAGCCAGGGATCAGGGAAACATAAAGACTTAAAAAACACCCTCCTACTAACCCTGTCGAGGCCAAGGAATCTTCTGGGAATGGTGACACCATTTTCTGGAGAACTGATTGTTCAATAGGTAGTGATCTCATGCCTGTTCATCTCTTATCTGGATCTTAACCCTCTGGGATTCAGAGTATAATTGGCCGTTTTCGACTACTTTTGATTTTACCTCTATATTTCACCTTTAGAAACTGTTAATCTTGCCTTGTTTGGTATCGGGGGTTTTTCAGCACAACCTCAAATATCTGAAATTTGAGGTTTTTTTTTCATTTTGGTATACTATATTAGCACAATTGATCTGAATTCAGACAAAACATTCAAAATCAGAGTAGAAAAAAGTTATTTTTTACTGTAAAACCCACAAACATGTTTAATGAATCATTCTCATAACTTGAAATGGAAATTGTACATTTCTAAAAATTATGCACACGTTTTACAAACAACAAAGTTATATGGTACTATTTACCTTAAAATGCAGCCATGACCTCAGACATTTTTTATATAACAATTTAAATCTATTTACAGAACAATCAGGTGTGCTGCATCAAATAAGAAGGCACACAAATTATTTGTGCCAGTCCAAAAAAATAGTTTGTGTGCCTAAACCCTGCAGGTCTGACAGCAGGTGTATCAGTCCTGTTTTCCATGTGGAGACAGCGTTTACACTGAAATTTACCTTTGGTGGCTTTTGTTTGGAGAAAATGTGAAATTCAGCAGTATAACTGACACACAATACAAAACAACAACTACACAACACACTAACTACAGCCTCCAAACACGCTAAACGTCACTAATGTTTCACATATGAAAACTCGCTCTCTCCCTTTCTTTCGCTCGCCCGCTTTCTGTCGCGGGTGTCACTCCTAAAAACTTCCCCTTCTCCCTAAACAACCAAATGTCACATGTTGCTTTATCATTTTTTTTTTTTATTCGCTGGCATGGTAAATTCTAACACCAATAGGGAAGGGGTGTTTTTTCTTTTTTCACTTGCAAGCCGAGAGTGTTTGCTAGCGCTGTCCATAGAAAATGCCATTTTTACCGTTCTTCCCGAAGTAAACACCACTGTTTTCTTCAGAAAAAAACATTGTGTGTATTTTTTATCATAACTCCGGTTTTACGTGGCCCATCGACACAGTTAAAAAACTGGTATATAGTTTGAAGTCCGCACTTTCGACCCAAGTTGAAATGGAGACTCTGAGCTGCTGCATCTTGTAGCCGTGTAGTCTTAAATTGGTCATGTGATTTTGACCCGTTGACCCCAAAGGTTTAACCTGTCCTACCACACAAGTTACCATGGCGATTTAAGGAGAGAACCACTGTCATAGTTAAAGATGGGTGACCAGCATCTAAACTAGGGCTGCAAGATATTAGGAAAACCTGCGATATGCGATAACTGTGATCAATATTGTGATAAAATAAATAAAAAACATAATTTCAGTTTTACTGCAACAGTTTTATTTAAAGAAAGCTGCTGTATTAGCAGTGTAACAACAAAGTGCACTTTAACATTGAAACACTGTTCCCAAAATTTTTTTCCTGAGGCTTGAATTCTGAAAGACATCCTTCCCGGTCTCTATAATTAGTTTTAGATAAACATAACTTAAATTATATTGTGAGAGTCTGGAAAATACACAGTCTCTAGACACCATGTGTTCAGTTCAAAGTGTGAAGCTCATATATGGTTCCGTTGTACGACTTGACCATAGGTCTGTAGTGCCTGCGTAGTTTTCAGCTTGGCTCAGTTCAAACATGACAGTCTTGCGGCATGTTTCGTACATTTGTGGAATGGCGACATGGGAAAAGTAGTTTGGTGAGGGGATGCGGTATCTCCGGTCCACTTTATGTATCAGACTGGTGAAGCCCTCTCTACTAACTGTATTTATAGGCATCATGTCTTAAGCCAGAAAATGTGTAATGGCCTCTGTTATTGCTTTGTACCACTTTGACGTTTTCTCATAGAGTTCCACTTGAAAAACTCTGATACAGAGACGGCTGTCGGACTGCTGTGCTCTTTGTCTTAACATTAGGGTTAGCCAAACAAAGGTTGCTATCTTTCTGGAACTCTTCAAACAGTTCTCTGTGGTTGTATTGAAGATGATGGATGATCTGATATCGTCATGTTGGTGTTGTTCCCTCATCATCACAGATAATGTTGTTCCAGGTTCAACATTGCAAGTGACGAATCACCTTCTCCTGATGTCATCCGCGACCTCGAAAAAAACAAACGCTTTCAAAAAAATCTACCTCACTTGCGAGAAGAGAAACCGCCTCTGTAAGGACAATATGTATAATGCTTACCGTTTATTAAAGAAAAGTATCCTGAAATGCAAAGAATTCAAGTTCCTGGATCGACGGACAGAAGCGGTTTCTCTTCTTGCAAGCGAAGTAGATTTTTTTTAAGGCGGTATTTTTCAAAGGCAGAAAAAGCTGGTCACTTGCAATGTTGAACCTGGAACAACATTTATTATGATGATGTGGGAACAACACCAACACGAGGATATCAGATCGTCCGAAGAGGATGGTGGAGATTAGTTGTGTTTCCTCAGGTGGTTGCCACGAGTGTTCGGCAAGTACCTGTGTTTGGAGAACGTCGTCTTTATCAAATCCAATGTACCTCCAAATAAGCGAGGTACATTTTTTTTCACCCACGAGTTCATAGTCAGTAGCGTTCTCGTCATGTATCTCGCTCTCAGCCATTACAACTCTGACTCTTTGCTGCTGCGTTGTTCGCTCCCCACCTACGTAGGAGGCGGGCCTCTAATCCATTTGATTGATTATGGCTGTGAAGGGCTCTATCTATTTATATCTATCTCTATTCGACTGGTCAAATCTGTAAAGGAGTTTCTTTGATTGGTAAATTCTTTAAAGCACGTGTGTAAACATTTTAAAGTACCCAATTATCGCAGTTTTCGCCATCTTTTGCAATGGGCCCATCGCACAGGCTGATATCGCGGTGCCAATAAGTTTTCGATTTATTGTGCAGGCCTAATCTACACTTTCTGTCCTACTAAGAAAATCATGTCTTCTCCATCAGTTATCAGGAGAGCAAACAGTCAAAGTACAAACTTTCTCACACAGAGATTCTACTTACAGAGCAGACACCGCACAGATGTTTCCTTCATCGTCCTTCTCACTCATTTGAGCTTTTTTTCACTCTCACACCATGTAAAGCCCGCCCTCTTCCTCTGAGCACAAGCCGTTCTGTTGGTACAAAAACAGTGTTGGTAAGGTAAACTATATCAAATATATATCACACAGCAATACTTTTTAATTTCCTTAAAACACTGAATTAAACACTTAATGACAAAAAAGGTTCTTATTTTTAAAAAGAATGTTATTGGTTTGACAACAGTGACTATGGCTTATTAAAAACAAAATCATCTGATACATCTAGTAATCTTCCCCAGTAAACATTGTCGTTATTTGACAATCAGGTGACATTTTTTGTTAACATCTACTAGTGGCTGAAAAAAGTGGAAAGAAGCAGTGACACGGACATGTTAGTCTTCGCCAGCGTCAGTTTGTTGTACCTCTTAAACATTACCTGGTCGCTTTTATTAGAATTTGAAACGAGAGGAAAGTTTCTGCTCAATTTTTGTTTCATACTCTCATATTATCCATTCTAATAAAACAAAATACTTTCTTCAGTGTGAATTAATAGGTTACAAACCTGGATTCTGGCTTTGGAAAGCCGTAATTTGGGCAGGGTCTTCTAATTATAGACCATAATGTTTTTAATACTATCGTTTCTATTTATTACAAGCAGGTACAAGCACCTGCCGATATATCAAGAAAACAACACCTGATCTTTCATTGCTGTTTTTCCTCTGGGTTATCAAGACCTGTTTACTTAAACATTGAGATTCAAACTATAGTTAAATCAATTTTCTTATTGTAATGGAAAGATAAAACTGCAAGTCACATACATAAATTTAGATTTAACTTTATGTCTAAAGTTAAAATCTAAATAAATAAATTAACAGAACTTGGTCTTGTCTTTTGTCTCCCAAACCCCATGTAGGACATCTGAAACAAACATGTGATCAGTAAAAAACAAAAAAAAAAACAAAAAAACAAAACACATACACAAAACGCCCACTGGGCACAAAAAGGTGTGCCCAAGTGAACAGACCACTGTGTTAAGTTGTTGCACTCTCAGATTGTTTGTTGGTCTAATCGCACCATCCTTGGATATTTATTACACTGATCTTTAGATCCTCTGAATCCCACCACACAATGGGGGATATCTCTCTCTTATTCGGCCTGATTGTCGGTGTCTTACTTCCCTTGTTTACAGGTGAGATCCGTTAAAGCAGCTTTTGCGAGCTTATCCGTCAACTGCATCTGAGATTGTGTCTGTTACAGTTTTCATGGTCTGACTTTTGATTAAACCGCCTTTACTGTAACCCAGCAACGATGGGGGGCACAATCCAGTGTACTCCTATAATCGCTAGCAGCTCATACTGGTGTGTTAGCATCAAGTGTCTGGCAACTGCAGCCAGCAGCTAGCTCAGACTACAGCTAACTCGCACTGAACAAAGCGGAGACCAACACGGACATAAACACGAAGGAATCGCGATCCGTATAGATGGTAGCTACAGCTAATTAGCGGTTAACCGTCTAGAGACTGGGCTCAATACATTCACGAGCCGCAATGGGAGATCGAGACGAGTGTTAATACCGAGCAGTGATGGCCTAACAGGTGCTGTTCCTTGGCGGAGCCAGGGGGTTAGCCCCGGCTAACTGAAGCCAGCGAGTTAGCACGGGCTAGAGCTAACTGGCGCTACATGGATGTAGCTGCTCTCAGGGCCATCACTGTTTGGTCTTACTAGTCATCCGCTGCTACATTTGTCGTAATCGGAGACGGACGCTGGTATTTAAACCAGGCAAAACGGCCCCTACAGCAGCTGCTGGTTAGCTAAGGCGCCAATTTGCTGTAGCCGGTGTTAAACCGCTGCCTAAATTCGCCGTAATCTTAGACCGACACTTTAAACACATTAAAACGCAATGATGAACCCGACAGCAGCTAGATCCAGGTAGCTACAAGTAACTAGCACTTAACCGTCTCACTACCTTGACTCACAGGATCGGAGATGATCCCTACAGCTACTGTTAGTGTCAATTTAGACATTGGCCACAATGGAGTCTTCCAGAAAGTTAAACAAGAAAGTAATCGCTAGCAGCTCGTACTGGTGTGTTAGCATTAGTATCAGGTGTCTGACAATATGACCGAGCCCTCGCGTAACACGGCGGCAGCAGCTAGCTCCGGCTACAGCTAACTAGCACTGAACAAAGCGGAGCCCAACAAGGATAATAACACGAAGCAATCGCGGTCGTATAAATGATAGCTATAGCTAATTAGCAGTTAACCGTCTAGAGACTGGGCTCAATACATTCACTAGCCGCAATGGGAGATCGAGACGAGTGTTAATACCGAGCAGTGATGGCCTAACAGGTGCTGTTCCTTGGCGGAGCCAGGGGGTTAGCCCCGGCTAACCGAAGCCAGCGAGTTAGCACAGGCTAGAGCTAATTGGAGCTACATGGATGTTGCTGCTGTCAGGGCCATCACTGTTTGGTCTTACTAGTCATCCGCTGCTACATTTTTCGTAATCGGAGACGGACGCTGGTATTTAAACCAGGCAAAAACGGCCCCTACAGCAGCTGCTGGTTAGCTTAGGCTCCAATTAGCTGTAGCCGGTGTTAAACCGCTGGCTAAATTCACCGTAATCTTAGACCGACCATACATAGTATGTTATTCTTTTCATCTTATTATGTTCCATTGGTTTTCCTAATTTCAACAGTCTTTCTGAGAGTGTCTGCATCAGAAAAAGTCCAAGCTGTTACAGTTTGCAGAAAGGCTGCCTCCTATCAGGCGACATGAGTATTACCACAGAATTATATCACTCGTGAAAATGAGCAACATCATGTAAATGTTAATTGTAACTGCATTTTCCATTTTGTGCCATACGCTGCTGATATATTTTGAGTTTTATTTAAAAGAAAACAGTTAAAACTGTAAACTCACAACTGAACTCTGAACATCACACTGCTGGAATAAAAAAAATCTATATTAACTGATCCAGTGTAAGCTCAGGTTTCACGCATGTGTTTCTCTCTGAAAACAACACGGCAGTTCAGATCAGTGAATAAAGCAAAACCAATATGTTTTGAATGTCAGGAAATAGTCTAACACACTAAAAACTGCTTTTACTCAGATATTTGATTTTATTCGTTATAGATTAGGCAGGAAGAAGTTTGTGCAAAGCTTACATAAATGAATTCAGCAGAGCTTTCAGTTGTGCTTTACATCATCAGAGTTACTGAGGGAGATGAATTTGTTTGTCTTGACTCAGTGTGAGGACTCTGCAGCGGCAGCTTTGAGTCATATAAGTAAATTACAGGTTAGACACTTGATCTTGTTAGCTTGGAAAAAAAAAGCTGAATGCTGGTGTAGATGTTACTCAACCCAACGTTTTTTAAAAATTCAAATCTTATTTTTCACACGTTATTCTCGTTGTTTGCTGTCGCAGTTTAAACACAGTGGTCGTTTAGAGTCTCCGAGCAACGCTCTTCCTTAGCAATCCTCCCAAACACTACCTTGACTACAAAAATTACGTTTTTATTTAAAAAACAACAACAACAGAAACAGCCGTTAAGAAAGGGGACGCGCCCTTTCCGTGTCGCTAACACGGCCTGCTAGCTGTGGGGTAGGGTTAGCTCAGTAACATGAGGGTTTATGCTTAAAACAGCCATTATAACTAAAGTAACACACAACAGGCTGGCACAGGAAGACTAAAACATGACTTTTAACGTGTTTCAGCTCCGTGATCAAAATTACACCCACAAAAAACCCTGTTTGTACTGTGAATAAGCTTTAACACGCCAGTAAACTGTTCTGAAATACGGAAAATACAGTTGGAAAAAGACTAATATTCTTTTAGAATCTCCACAAAGATTACAAATATGTAACTAGAGCACTAAAGAAGGAACACTTTAAATCTAAGGTCACACCTTATTTCAAATACTTTAGGTATTAAAGCTCTACAAGTCGATTAAATGTTACTGAGGATCAGGACAAAGGTAGCTGAACGAGCACAAACAGCCGCCATTTTACGTCTTTGACTGTAGATTCAAATCCAAAACCAGGCCTGAAACACAAGCTCCTTTTTACTGTGTGTATCTGTACAATAACTATATAAATATATATTATTTGTCTTTGAATCTATAAAAACGTGTTTTGGCTTTAAAATCGTGAGCATTTTCTGTGTGACTCGGAGGTCATCAAATATTTGTAAGCTGAGTAAGCGCTGTAGGTGCGGGTTATTCAGGCTCCGCCTATATTTCTAATACAAAGAGAAACGAAACCGATGCAGTCTGCGTTTCACCATCGCTCGGAAGATTTCTAGAAATAACACGTTTGTTCGGACTGTTTGAACGAAAAAGGACAAAATGAAAGACGAATCCCTGTGTCTGTCTCGGGTTTAGCTGCTTAGTACTGTATCATTTGTTCTCTAAATTGTGTTTTCAGCACAGATCGGTCCGCGAATGCTACTGCAACAAAACATCGTTACAATAACACAGAGCTTCTAATACACGTATGTCATGTTTATAAAAGAATAAAGCTTACACTTACAGCAGGCACACGGTAGTCTGTCCATCTGAGCCTGCATTGCGTCGAGGCGCAAACAGCACGCAGTCGCTCGGTCTAGTCCCGCAGGCGCCTGCGAGGCTCAGTAAACTCTGTAACAAGAGGGTGGAGAGAATGACGTGTCCAGAGACGGGGGAAAACCTGCGTGACTTGTCTGTTTCGAGAGCTTTGAGCAACACTTGACTTTTTCGTATCTGTGCATCTTACGCTTTATTTCACATTTACAGATCTGAGTATTCACACGCGCATGTCCGCGTTCACAGCAAAATCTACAATCAGCTCTTCCAATAAATGGTTAATTAATATTGTGCTGAACACAGTGCAAAAGATTCAATAAGCCACATCAGTGTCTACTGTTTACTGTCATAGCCGAGTGACTAACAAAGGTAAACAGAAGTTTCGACAGGTTGTGTGTGAGACTTTAGCAGCAGCAGAAAGCAGGCACACTGAGGGCCCTCGCGCTCACGTTTCACGTAGGCTATATGTGATAGAATTTAGAAATCACGTCAGTGTAAATTACTAGTCTATATCATGATGTCTGGTGTTTTTATGTTTGTTGGTTTGTTTCATTTTGCCAGCTGGTTATTAGATGCTGCACCGGCCAGCCCCGCCCCTCTCTGTGCAGCAAGCAGCAGGCACGCAAACCGAGGGCGAATGGAGAATAGAAAACCGATTGGTACCTGTGCAATCACAAAAATGCGCTGGCGTGGTGCTGCCCTGGGCAACGGCCCATGTCGCCCATATCAAAAACCGCCACTGGTGGTCAATGTGACCTCATTAGTATGAGGTCCAGAGGGCCTGGTGTATGAACAGCAGGCTCATTTAATTATTTAATCACTCACTTGAACTGATTTCAATGTGCTGGATGTGATGACGATGATCATTTCTGATGGTGAAACTGAAAAATTAAAATTTTCGGGCATGTTCTTGTCTACACAAGCCCAGCAAGTGGCTCACAAAAGTGACAGTTAAGTTTTTTGTTTATGTTATTTAAGATTTTGTTATTAATGAAATGTTTCATACTCTGTTCAGGAGCTTTTATTCCCTGTGCTCCGTTCTTGTTCTGACAGTTTTTTAACAGATCTGATGCTCAGATTTAATTCGGCCACTGTAAACCAGGATCCCAGAGAGACTCTTCACTCTGATTGGCTGGGGTAACAGTTGTACTTTGACCTATAAGCTCTCTGCGCTTATCAGAAATCATAGTATAATTTCAGGCAACATTTATTAATTTTTTAAAACACGTTCATTTCTTTCATCTGTCACCCATATGTACTTTTGGGATTTCCTTACCTGTATGATTGAGCACACATCAATACAATATAACCACTAGCTGACACGGTCCTGAAATTCTGCTGGACTCATATGTTTCATGTTTCTCTTTGAGTGTTTTTGGATGGAGCCCATCACAATAATCACTGTTCTAGAAATGAAAAGTTGCACTTTAACCTTCACGACCTCTCTGCTCTGTGTTGTTTCCTCTTTCAGCCCAGAAAAACATCACAGCTGAGTCTGGACAGAAGAACGTCACTCTGACATGTCGAGCTCCAAACAACAACATCTTCATTGTAGAGTGGAGCAGACTTGACCTGGGGGATCAATATGTGCTTTTGTATCGGGACGGTCACTTTAATTCATACAACCAGCATCCATTATTTAAGAACCGGGTGGATCTGCAGGACAGACAGATGAAGGATGGAGACGTGTCTTTGATTCTGAAGAATGTGACGATTAATGACACTGGAACATACGAGTGTCGTGCCAAGCCAGAAACAAACCGGAGAAAAAGAGCAAATCTGAGTGGTGACCCCATCAGCATCATCCACTTGCATGTTGATCCTCCAGGTGAGTGAGTAGAGTTGAGTGTGTGTGTGATCAGAGGTGAAGCTGCTTCCTGGTTGTTGATGTTTGTTTCTAAAGATGTTGTTGATGAGACTTTGTAGAAAGCAGCTGGTCTGAGTGATGTGATCAGAGTGCAGTAGATAATGTCTGACAGCAGTTTGAAGAGGAAATGGATTCTGTTCTGTTCTTCACTCATCACCTACCTGACAGCTGACACCTCACACCTGTTTCTCACCTGCAGCTCAGACAGGAGGACTCACAGAGGATGGAGGGAAGGAGGATGGAGGGAAGGAGGATGGAGGGAAGGAGGCTGGAGGGAAGGAGGCTGGAGGGAAGGAGGCTGGAGGGAAGGAGGCTGGAGGGAAGGAGGCTGGAGGGAAGGAGGCTGGAGGGGAGGAGGCTGGAGGGGAGGAGGATGGAGGGAAGGAGGATGGAGGAGAGAAGAGTGGATCTGTTGGACTGATCGTTGGTCTGAGTGTTCCTGCAGTGGTTCTTGTTGCTGCTGTTGTTGTTTTTTTGATCTACCGAAAACAACGTAAGCAGGGTTCATACCAGCCTCCATTTGAACTTCAGCCTGTTTGAAATGTTTCAGTTTTTTCCAGCTGATCTGAGTCTCCAGCTGTTTCAGCTTCTCAGAGGTGACACTGAGCATTCTGGATAAAGACAGTTGTGGTTTTCCAATCATGTGTAGACTCAAATGTCACACATGGCATCAAAAACTGCCAAAAAAAGATTTTTATGAATTTTTACATTTTCTCTTTCTTTGGTTTAAATTGTCGACAAAGAATCCAGGAAGCATTTTCAGGTTTTATGTTTAAACGTACTTTTTATTCTCAAACTCCTGCTGAGTTAATGTCTCTTTAGCTTTAATATTAAAATACCTGCTGCTTCACTCATATTTATATCACAGAAGCTTCTAATGTTTATTATATACAGCTTTAAGCATTGCACACACTTCTTAACTTTACAGCAGACTTTATATTATATATATTTAAATAATATATTTCTTTTTAATGCACGTTAAATAGTAATGTGGATGTTAAGTAGGTTTCATGTTTATATTTTTAATCAGAAACTTTCTGACTTTGACTCAGTTCATGCATTTTTCATGGACTTTCTGATTCTAATGTTTTTACTGTAAAAGTGCCTTCGGATGGTTGTTGTTTCCTGGTGCTTCATGAATAATCTTGAAGTGAAACTGAATAATGTGAGCTGGACTCAAACATACCTCACTGAGCACATGTGTAAACTGGATCTAAGCGAGATGGAAACCTGCTCACTGAATCACTTTGACTCTGAAACTGTAACGAGAGACAACATTTAGACATTAACTGTCATTATATAACAAGTTTGTACAGCTGTAGTCTCTTGATGCTACGAACAGAAAACAAAAAATAAGTAACTTGGTCATAAAAAGGTGTCGGTGTAACTGGCTCAACCAGGACTTTACACGAGGGCTCAGACAGCTGTGTTCATGGTCGTACCTCAGTATTTACAGAGTCAGTGACCAATCTAGGACTGGTTCCATGTTCCCACCAGGAAAAGAAAACGACTCACGTTTTCCATCAGACATCTTTGTGAAACCCACAGAAGCACACGAGAAGATCAAGTGAGACCAAAGTTTATTGAACCTGCAGAGAAACCAGATCACTGCTGTGAAAACATGGATTGCATCTATATTTTAGTTACATACCATTTATTATTTTTTATGTATAAATTACGTCTTGGTCATGCTTTTATTCTGAAAGGCCTGGTGAAGAATTGTTCCCTCAAGTATGAAAAATAAATAAAATCTTTATGGTACCATTCTGCTTCTGCTTCTTTATAAAAGAAAACAATAACTTTCCATTTGAACTTTCAGTGATTTGAACTCAGTGGTTGTGTGAGGTTTCCTTCATGAGGAGAACAAACAGAATATAAACCAGTGTGTTTACAGTGAATGTGTCAGGTCTGAGCTGCTGTGTGGACCAGTTAGAGAGCAGCAGCTGGATTCCAGTGGTTGGACTGGTGGACGACTTCAGTGAGGAGTAGATGACATTTGGCTCTGGTAGAAACTCTGCACACACAAACACACAGGAGGAAAAAAAATTATAAGAAGCTATCCAAATGAATTTCAAATTAAAGGTTTCACATACATGTGCACAATGTTTAAAATACATATTTGGTGGCCTGAAACAGGCAGAGTCCATAATTACAGAGAATCCAACGATGTCTTTCATACCAGCTTTGATGGAAGCTGCGTCTCCTGTCCCCCATTAATGTGACTGGAAATGTCCTCAAACTGGGCAGCACTGGTGGATCATCTTTGTACGTCTGATAAGAGATGAATGCAGAGCAAACATGAGGCTGTAACTGAGGACAATAACTGATCATTGTTAACTTATTACTTTATTCTGTCATTATTGTTCATTACTGTCAGTTACAATGACTGTATGAATTGTAATGACACGACACTCACAGTCACACAGGTCTGTTCAACACCGCTGGTTGTCCCTCTTCCTCTCCCTCACAGCTCGTCTTCCTCCTCACTCTCAGGACTGTCCCTCTCTGTACTGCAACAGTGTCAGAAACCCACATTTGATTTTTTTGTTTATTTATCATATTTAATTTTTCATCTGTCTTTTTGATTAATGTGTGAATTAGGGTAATTGAGGTCTATCAATGTCAAAAATCTCACTGTATGATTTCAGTCAGTGTTTAAATAAATCCAACAGGAAATGAGATGTTTATGTTAAAACAGTGGCAGTGTTTTCAAATGATGGCACAGTGATTGTGCTTAGAAATACTCGGGTGATTATTATTTACAGGAATATTATGTGAAATACATTTTTGAGAGATCAAAATGTTGTCATTCAGGAGAAAATCTTCCCTTTTAACAGGATCCATGAAAACAACCTGCTCTAGATGAAACACGAACATTAACACACAAATTCAGCAGAAATCCCCTGAATGTATCTTCAGAAAGGGAGGAGTCTATGACTGTATCATCATCACTCCTCATTAGTTCTGGGCAAGCGCTCCAAGCCGGTCTGGAACTTTTCACTTCAACTTTTGTACCATCTGATCAGGACCCAAAAACTGCACGTAATGGATGTAACATCAGTCTGCAGGAATCTACTGGTTGTCCTTTTTTCTTGATCGTGACTGCAGGTGAGTTAAAGCGAGAATCAGATTTTTTTATTCACACTAGAATACCGCGTTACTCTGCAGCAGCCCACCTTCACATCACATATCAGCCAATGTCCTCCACTTTGTGCCAACTCGGTCAGCAGCCCGCTGTCACTGAACGTTTTTCAGCATTGAGGCCATTCGTGTGCAGCGCAACAATATCCATATCCAATTCTTGAAACCCGTTTTAGTCGGCATGGGTTGGCCCAACCAAAGTGTCAAGTGTCCTATTTCGACGTTCGAGAAAAGGCGGAGGGAGAGGGCGATGTCTGCTCGACGCCTGTTCATGAAGCTTCTCTCTAAAACTAAACACGGTCCTTCTTCTCCTTCAAAGTCGTCTGGCTATCGTCCTTAAACTTTCTAATAACGTCTGAATACCACCTCTAGGTTATTTCTACCGTCTCTTTAACGACCGAGACAAAATAAAATGTTCTTAAACGAAAGAATCCGTCAAAAGAAGTAGCGCGTGAACGCAACGCTGTCAAAGCCGAGCTCTACCGGAAACAAGTTCTTTTCCCCACCTCTTTGCCGAAAAGAAAAAATAACACTTACTTCCTGCCCCAGTGAACCACAAAATGAATGTTACTTATATACACGCAGGTATTTCTTGTGTTGGATTAAAATGACTGAAAAACTGTCAGCTAACATCTGTATGTTTATGCCGCTGTCTGTGTTACATAAACTTAATAATAAGTTCGTGCTTGTTTCTACAAATAGGTCTCATTTAAAATAACTTGAAGCGGATTTCGTGTGTGTGTGTGTGTGTACATTGTTTTATTGCAGGAAGCTTTATTAAAGCCCCACTTTATGTCTGTAAGTATTAAACATCTTTAGATATGCGCTATACAATTTAAAGACTAAATAATTGTAACAAGTGTCACCTGGCAGTTTGTTGCTCTCTTCCAGGTGATTGGCTGAAGAGCTGTGAAAAGGTAGTGGGTGTGTGGGGTGAAGTCGGCGCTCTTCTGTGGAAAAAACCAGAGGCAATTAATTCACTCGGTGCGAGTGGGTATACTGTCGGTAATAGTGATGGGTCGGTGAGGCCTCGTGAAGCGTTTCAGCACATTCCCCAAACTGTATCGATACTGTGCTGCTGTTTTGCTCCATACTGACACCTGCTGGACCTTAAATATCATTGCAGGCAAGTTACTTGAGACTCACAACAGACACTGATTCAATGACCTAGTCATTCTTGTACACTGTAAGTTATTGTACTTTCCATATAATCATTTTATATCTTTTACATTTCAAATATTGTAGACATCTTTAAAATATATTGTGAATGACATTAAGTGAAAGACTTCTATTCAGAAAAATAAGTTTATCCAATGTTTTAGCATTCAGTCTATTACGTTTTTTTGACACCATTTCCACAGCTTTGGAAAACACATGCTCGCAGGGCACAGGTGAAGCTGGGGTACACAAAAACTGTAAACCCAGGTGGAAAAAGTTCAGGTAAGATGTCTTCCTGTTCCCTCAGTACGTTAAAGGATCCTCTGATCTTGGAATGTTTCTGTCTGACACTCTCCACAATACTAAGGGGTTGGCAGTCCTTTATAATAAAATTCAGGAATGCCTGGTCCAGAACAGTCTTCTTAGATGTTTGATTTCAAAATAATCAAACACATATTAATAAAAAAAAAAGATGATAAAGCTGTTCAGTGTCTATATAGGCCGACCTGTGTTCATTCTCAGTGTGTTTGTCTTAGTTTCATGTTTGGCTCTGTGATGCCTAAACACTGAGGAGGTGATTTTGTTTGTGTAAGAAGCTCCGCAGAACAGATGCGACATTTAACCTGCATAAAATGAATATAAATAATTTACACTTCAAGTCACATTGCTGTTTTTCCTATTCTGGTAGATCACACTGAAACAAAGACAGACAAACAGATACCTTATTTGCAGTTAAAAGATCAAAATGATCCCACACAGCAGAAACTTTTCTTTTTCTTTCGGGCTCCATTTTGTTATGGAGAGATGTGTATTTTTTTTTTTGTTGTTTTTTTTTACCTTTGTGAGAGTAATTTTGTGGTTTTTTCGGTGGCGACTCATTCCGTTGGCAGATGCAGATGCGGTACCTTTTAAACACAGTTTGGTGCGTTGGCAATGAGCGATACAGCAGCTGGATCGATCACGTGACTTTGTCTTAAAGCGACCCACGCATCGGTACAGGCTTCGCTCTGTGAGCTTGATACATGCGTCGGTGCGTCAGTGTTGCAGGACCCATCACTAGTCGGTAAGTGACGTTTGCCATTTTTGTTTAGATCATTTGCTATTGTATGTGCCTATTTTAATGTGTTGTTGGACTTTTTTTAGTGTGACCACAAATTTTAATAGAAGAATTGATCAAGCCCTAGATCGACGGCGCGCAGGGAAACTGAACACTATTGTAGTTATATTGTTTGCTTTAGCTTCATGATTTTGAATGGTTTCATAAAATTGATATTTTATTGGGTAATATTTTAATCGATAATGTTGTTTGTGTTTTTCAGCTGTGCTGTCTCTGCTGTCCTTTTTTCGTTCTTTTGATTGATTTGTAATTTTGTTTTGGTTAGTCCGTCCAGCCGTAAAGGTAGTTATTGATTGAGAGTAAGTTGTGTAAGGGTGGACTAACCTCTCTTTTAGTTTTTTGTTTAATTGTTTGTGCCACTTCCCTTTATCTCTCAGATCGCAGGCCATGCATAGCACTGATTCCAAGCTGCGCTGAGACCCGAATTGTTTGCAGTGTGTGCCACGATTGTAGTGTCGCTAAGCGGGGTGTGACGGGTTGTAGTGTTATTTTCACACAGTTTGTGTGGTAAGTCTCATGTGCAGCTGGGATATCAGCAGGATGTGTCGTAAGTCCTGTCTGGAAATAACTGGGAATTATTATGTCTAATTTATGTAATAAATAATCAATTTATATCTTTGCCCCATTTACTCATCCTTTGTCCTCGGTTACACAACAACAACAACTACAACTAACTTAATCTAAATAATTTAATGTATTTGGTAGACCATAAAAACAGCAGAGCTGCAAAAACAAGTAGATGTCAAATATTAATAAATACCAATAACTAGAAATGTGCATAAAAGAGTTTTGCTGGGTGTTGTCAGTGTCAGTAGTGTGTATGTAATGTCTATACAATCCATGTAAAGAAGCTGTCGTTATTAACACAAAGTGGTGCTAATAAAATGGAAAGCACAAGTTTCTTATAACACTAAAATCTCAAAGTGCTTGACTTATATGTGTAAATCATTTTATGTACTATTAAACACTTTTATTGTGAAAGCACGAAAACGGAAACTCTCACTGTAATGATCCTGTGTAATCACCACACAGGTTTACAGCTGTTGGTTTTGGCTCTGTTGGTGTTTTTGCTTTGTTTTGTTTTTTGTTATTGCTAACCCTTAAAGTTTGGATTTGTTTGGCTGAATTTTAAATTCATGTCATGTTCTAAGAATATCTCCAACACAACAGGCTGATATGCAGCTCCAAACCATGATTGGCTGCTGTACAAGTGAATGGTTTTAACTTTGACCTTTAACCTCTCTGCTCTGTGTTGTTTCCTCTTTCAGACCAGAAAAACATCACAGCTGAGTCTGGACAGAACGTCACTCTGACATGTCGAGCTTCAAACAACATCATAGTTGTAAAATGGATCAGAGCTGATCTGAAGTCAGATTATGTCCTTTTTTCCCCCCGGGATGATCTGTTTGTTCCAGCCAACCAGCATCAGACAGACTGTGAACGCTTACAGGCAAACATCACACTCATGATCAGTGATTCATTTTTCTCTGAACTTTAAATTAAATACATTTTACTTCATGTAGTTGTTTGTTCTGAGTCACTTTATAAGACCCTTTCTGACCTGTACAGTCTGTTGATGGTGTTTGTCTCCTGCACTGTAAGTAAAGTTTCTTGACATGAATGTTGTTTCCTGTTGCTTCATGAGTAAAACAGAACTGAAACATAATGTGAGCTGGAATCAATCCATAGTTGGTTTGTGGTCATTTTTCTTGCTTTTCACCACAAAAAATGACCACACCGACCAGCCAATCGGTGACATCAGTTTACTACCTGCTCAGATCTCTTGGAAACCCGGCCGAGCAGGTACTAAAGAAATACCTGGTACCAGGTACTGATGACCATTCACACTCACATTCACACCTCTGGGCGATTCAGAATCACCAGTGAACTTAACCCCACTGACTGCATGTCTGTGGACTGTGGGAGGAAGCTGGAGTACCTGAAGAGAACCCACACAAACACAAGGAGAACATGCAAACCCCCCACAGAGACTCCCCGACCAGGTGGTGGATGCAAAGCCTGGGTGTCACCATGTGGCCCTCTTAAAAATATATTTAGGTACTTTAAATATACACAACATGTAAACTATAAAAATAATAAATGAAAGTTATAATGTCACTTATGTCAGCTGTAACTCGTCTGGACTCTAATTTTTACAGTTTTGATTTTATTATTGAGTGTCGGTGCAAAAACTAAAAACCCCAAATGAACAGTTATTAATAAATATAACAAACATACAACATACACTGATAAACACACAGAGCCGATCTGAGTTTTTTTAAAAAACTGATCATCTGCCAAGAAGTCATTTCCATCCATCCAGCTGGAGCCTATCCCAGCTGTCATAGGGCGAGAGAACGGGTTGACCCTGGACAGGTCGCCAGTCTGTCGCAGGGCCAACACACAGGGACAGACAACCATTCACACCTATGGGCAGTTTAGATTTTTCAATTAACCCATCCCCACATTTCCAATGTTTCTATTTATTTTTTTTATTTTATTTTTATGTGTAATGTCTTTACTTATATTGGTAAGTAGAGTTCAGTGAACATGATTTATGACGGGTTATATAAAATATAGAAATAAGCTGTTTAGTAAAGTATCTTAAAGACTGTGTTATTTGACACATTTCACATATTATACACCAACAAGTCATTTACAGCAGTGTTGGCCAATCATTTTTATACAAATACCGGAAACCAGTTCGGGGCACAACCGTATTTGGCACCGTTACCGTCCCGAGCGAACGTCTTCACGGCGACAAGATGGGTAGCGGTGTTCGTACGTCGCTCTTCGGGATTCTTCTCGTCTGTTATTTCGCGTTTGCGTCAACAGGTGAGTATGTAACTCTTAGATTGCTGATGAATTGATTTGCCGTTATTGGCATATTAAACACACGCAACCGGGACGTAAGCGTGATTAGCGAAGCTCGCCGGTTACCGGGCTTCGAGCACAAGTTAGCTCGCCAGTTGCGAAGTAGAAGCGGCTATATGTGGTGTGAGTTTTCTGTGTGTTTTGCTTAGTCTTAGTATTTGTGTGCAGTTGAAGTGATCACTGTTAGAGCCAACGAGACTTGCTGAACATCGTTTTTCGGCTAAAACCTCACATAACAGAAAACATTCTCTTCAATCAAAACACAGCTACCCACCGAGCTAGCGACAGCAAGGCGACACGTCACGCTAAAGTTAGCCTGTCGGTGCAAACAAGAGTGGCGGAGAAAAAGCGGACTTTCCCGGATTACTTTCACATAACAGGGGTTTTTAATCCGGGAAACCTGAAGTTGGAATCAATATAATGCCATTAACATGTGCAGTGCTCTGCTACGGGAGAAAGTTAAGGATAAAAAAGCTCGAAACAGGCGTTTCGACACGGTGTCGCACTTCCGTAGCGATCAGCGAAGGAGGAGAAGCGCTACCGCGAGTCTTAATGGTCGCGGCGAGTAACAGGTCGGCTGGCTTCACCGCGGCGCACAAATCACAGCGTTATCTCAGGAGAACAACCAAGCCACTAAAGAAGTACTAAAACTTGTACTAAAACAAGTAAAAGTACTAAAACACACTCACAACTGGAACACTGATCAGAATCAGAACCTCGTTAACGGCGTCAAGTACCTGCTGAGAACATCACTGTAGTGAAGTTTATCTCCCCATCCAGAAACCCTGGATTACAGCCAAGGTCAGGGATAAAATTTGATTAGTACTTTGAACATTACTGTGTGATGTGGTTAATGAACCATAGTCACGGTGGAGGTATGGCTGAGCAGCAATGCTTTTATTCCTTGTCCTGGATCGCCATCTTGTGGCAGATTTGGGAATTGTTTAGGAAGTATTTTCCTATTTTTGTACATTGAGGTGTCTTAGTATGTTTTTCCTGTCGATGTTTGTTATTAGTTTTTTTTAAACACGTACTATCACGTTGAACATAAAGTAAAGTTAACCTCTTGCAGCCTCTTCTGCAGCACAATCCAGCGTTACACAAACGTGCAGCACTGTGTACAGTCCGCCCTACAGGGCCGACTCCACAGCACACAAACCAGGCTGTGGCCCCGCCGTCTTTACTCTCTTCACCAGCTCTATAACCAGGGCTGAAACACGACCTCCCCACGCTGTGTGTCCGTGTTTACCACAACACGCAGAGACTCTAACATGTACCGAACGAGCTGCTTTGCTTTGTATTATCCATTAACAAGTTTGAGGAAAAAACATCAGCGTGGAGTCATGGATAGCCTTGGACCTTGAAATATAATTTGGACTTTAATGTGGAAATTTCGATGTTGTTCTCAAAAAAAGTCTTTCTTGTATTAATGTTGCCCTGAGACTCTTTGATAGGAGTGACAGAGAGAGTCACTGATCTTCACTCTGCTTGGCTGCTGTACAAGAGACTAGTTGCATTTTAACCTTTAACCTCTCTGATCTGTGCTGTTTCCAGCTGTGTCTGGACAGAACATCAATGTGACATGTCGAGCTCCAAACAACAACACAATCACAGCTGTAAAGTGTAAAAGACCTGACCTGGGAAATAAATATGTGTTTTTGTATCGGCAAAAGCGCATTGATACCAATAACCAGCAAAATAACCATTATTTTAATGACATTTAAATCATGACTGAAAACTAGTATGAAAATTGTTAACGTGTGTTATTCATTTGAAACCAAATTAAAATGAAAACCAGCGCAAAACATCAAACTAAAATAATAACGCTGTGAAAAAACAACAATTGTTTAAGGTTCCGCTGACACGGTCCTGAAATTCTGCTGGACTCATATGTTTCATGCTTCTCTTTGAGTGTTTTTGGATGGAGCCCATCACAATAATCACTGTTCTAGAAATGAAAAGTTGCACTTTAACCTTCGTGACTTCTCTTCTCTGTGTTGTTTCCTCTTTTAGCCCAGAAAAACATCACAGCTGAGTCTGGACAGGACATCACTCTGACATGTCGAGCTCCAAACAGCAACATCACAGTTTTAGACTGGAGCAGACCAGACTTGAAAGATAGCTGTGTCCTTTTTTATGAGAAAAAATTTAATACCACCAACCAGCATCCATCTTTTAAGAACCGGGTGGATCTGCAGGACAGAAAGATGAAGGATGGAGACGTGTCTTTGATTCTGAAGAATGTGACGATTGATGACACTGGAACATACGAGTGTGGTGTCATCCAGAAAGCAAGAGATGGTTTGAACATCATCAGCAACATCACCCTGAGAGTTGTTGTTCCTCCAGGTGAGTGAGTAGAGTTGAGTGTGTGTGATCAGAGGTGAAGCTGCTTCCTGCTTGTTGATGTTTGTTTCTAAAGATGTTGTTGATGAGACTTTGTAGAAAGCAGCTGGTCTGAGTGATGTGATCAGAGTGCAGTAGATAATGTCTGACAGCAGTTTGAAGAGCAAATGGATTCTGTTCTGTTCTTCACTCATCACCTACCTGACAGCTGACACCTCACACCTGTTTCTCACCTGCAGCTCAACCAGGAGGACACACAGAGGATGGAGGGAAGGAGGATGGAGGGAAGGAGGATGGATCTGTTGGACTGAAAGTTGCTGTTGGGGCTATTGTTGCTGCTGTTGTTGTTGTTGGCGGTGGTTTTCTGATTTACAGAAAAGTTAAACCAAACAAACAGGGTTCATACCAGCCTCCATTTGAACTTCAGCCTGTTTGAAATGTTTCGGTTTTTCCAGCTGATCAGAGTCTCCCAGAGAACAGTTGAGGATATCCTGAAGTTAATTTTCATGTCCTCGCTTTTCTACTCTGAGCAGTCAAAGCGCTTTATACAACAAATTCATTTACACGAGCACTTCTTCCAGTCTCTTAAGTGCTCAATCTAACATTCATACACATTCACACTCCAATGGATGCATCGGAGAGCAACATGGGGTTAGTATCTTGCCCAAGGATATTTGGCATGCAGACTGGAGCAGCCTGGGATCGAACCACCGACCTTCTGGTTAGCGGCCACCTGATCTACAGCCCGCCTTCCTGTATGGAAATTCAAGTGTGCCAGGACTCACAGGTGATTGGCTGGCCAGGGACCTATGCCCGCCCAACTTCATGCAGATCGGAGCCATTGGCTGCTGCGGGATCCTCGAATGCAGCGGACCAATGACGCGGCTGCCTGCGTTTACCTAGGAATACAAAAGGCTGAGGATTCTTCGCTCGTGGGGGACTCTTTGATTTGAGCAGACTGTGCAGGCTGTCCCTCCTGCCTCTGCCTTTTGCCTCGGTTTTTGAGAGAGTTTTCTTGTGTTATTTTTTTCAATCATGTAAGACAAACGAGCTGAACTGTAACACCAGCAAGTGCCAAAAGACAATTTTCACAGATTTCTTCAAATTGTTTTCTTTGGTGCAAAAAACAGACAAACAGTCCAGCAAACATTTTCACATTTTATTTTTACATTTCCAATAATTAATGATTATTTATTTTAAAGTTGTATAAAAATGATCCAAATTAGAAGTTTTGTCTTTAACTCCTCAACGTCTGACCAACAATCATGCTGAGCTTTGTATTTATCTGTAACGGAACTTTTCCCAAACAAAGAGTTTGTGCTTCAAATGTTTCTACTGTAAATAAAGTTCCTGTTGATATGATTGTTGTTGTAAATAAATCTGAAGCTGGAATCAAAGTAATCCATGTTTTGTTTTCTTGCAGATTTCAGACAATTTTACAAAAAATATTAAGAATAAATCCCATAAACTGTCAAAGTTTATAAACAAAACAGCTGTTATAAATGTTGTAAAACACATTTATGTTTTAAT